AAAGGCAGCAGCATCCTCCTCGAAAGCCCAGTCCGCCCAGCGCTGCGTGACTGCCTCAACCTCGGCCGCTAGTTCCGCCGCTGTCGCTGCCATGGGGGGTTCCATGGGTGCATCTGTTCGCCGCTGCATAGGCTCCATTAATTCATCTGTTTGCCGCTGCATGTCGCTAACCCCCACGTCGTTTCGTTGTCGCAGTTCGCCGGCCATCTTGCCGGATAAAATCACCGATCGTTGTTGAAAACCTAGGAAAACCTAGTAGGATGGCAAAAACCCTAGAGACTCTAGAGAGAAAACTTTTTTCGGATCTAAAACTTAAACTTAGGACAACGTAATTTGGGTTGCATTGCATTTAGTTGGGAATTCAAACTAAAATGAAGCCCACAATTCAACCCAATATTAATAAGACTTCTAAATGTGTCCATGAGGGTTGGTTTATTAGTATTGAAATTGTGAACTTCTAGAATATAAATTGTGTTTTTAAGTTTTGTGAATTTGTGAATACAATAACGTAAAGTATATCGTGTTCCGCGGTGCATAATGAATTATGCACCGAGCTTCTAAACGACGTTGTTTTGTTTAATGAAAAGAAACGGCAATTATTTTGCGTCGTTCCGCAAAAAGTAATTTTGTTATTCAGTTTCATTTTTTATACACTGTAATTTTATTTCAACACAACTACATTTTCATTTCGATATTATAACTACAGTTTCATTCGATATTTATATACTCAAATATATGAAAATGTTATTTTATTTTATTTTATATACACTATAGTTTCATTAAAACACGACTACATTATCATTTCGATATAACTACAGTTTCATTGCACAATATACACTCAAATATGTGAAATGTTATTCAGTTTCATTTTATATACACTGCAGTTTCATTTCAACACAACTACAGTTTCATTTCAATTCAATTGCAGTTTCATTTGATAATATAAAAATAATACGTGAGGCATTGTCAGTTTAGATACACTGTAGTTTCAGTTGGTAATTAATACACCAAACATGCGCGCTCTGTTAACTATAACGACACGCCATTTCTTTACTTAAAGAAATGGCGCCATTTTTGGACCGCATGCCACAAAGCTTTGTGGACTGCGGTCCACAGTATAATTGTACATACAATACAGGCCGGGTCAATCACTAATTGTGAATTTTTAAAAGGTAAGTTGCAAACATTTAGTATGTAAAGCTAGCTTCTTGTTGTCATATGGCTTTCGGGGAGGAGGAAAACGGATATGGATCCGCTGCATGATTGGGGTTCGACAAGTAGGACAATCATTCATTCCCAGTCTTTCGTGAAGCTCACTGCACTCTTCGCAAAAATCCAGATGAGCGGATGGGAGGAGAAATACTGTTCTATTCACACTCAAACACATAACACATTCCTTTTCGCGTCGTTTCATTTCTGCTGCAGATTCAGCTTTCCCAGAACTTGAACCACTTTCAGCCCCCAGTTTAAGTGCAGAGATTCGAGCTCTTAGCTCCTTCATGCGTTCCTCATACTTAACCCTATTCTCTTCTGTCTTTGCTATCAACTTATCCACCTCTATTTTTGCCTTCTCATTCATTTCTTGCCTTTCCCTCCTCAGCAACTCGGCCTTCTCCAGAAGCTTTATCTTCTCCCTCTCTTCATTCTGTCGGAGAACCTGCAGAAAGATAAGTTAACACCCATATATGACAGTTGTCCAAAATTGTATATATGAGCCTCAAGGCAAATCAGAGAAAAACTGACATTATGCAATTAATAATAAGCATATATATACCTCAAACTCATGTTCGCGCTTCCTAGCTTTATCTATTTGTTGCTGCAACTTGGCTGATTCGGGCTTGAGACATGCAAGATCTTCCTGCAAAAACCTTATCTCCGCCTCCGATTTACTGCACTGCTTAAGCAACTCCTGTTCCCTCAGCTTAATCTCCTGCAAATTTTGATTTGGGGAAAGGAAAGCCAGTTTTGAATCCTCTAGGTTTTTCAGCAGCATAGTGTGTTCCTCCTGGAGCTTAAGAAGAGTAGTAGTAGCCGTTTCCATCATGTACTTAACATTGTTTAGTGCAACATCCAACTCAGAAATGTTCTTCGCATTATGAGTGCACTTATCAGCTGTTGCAGCCTCCTTCTCCTGCCTCAACATCTTCTTCTCTTCATTGTTTCTCCTCAGCTTCTGAGCTGCCTGCCCGACCTTCGTGCTAACATTTCATCTTTCTCTGTTGTTTTTGGGGTTTTTGCAGGTTTCTTTTCTGAGATAATAATAATGCTCCTACTACTTTGGGTTTTCATTTTCATTGTCACCTTCCTTGAGCTTGCAGGGGCTTTCCCAGTTGCCTTTCTTCCCCGTTTGCCTCCTTCCAATTCTGGAACGATGGTGGTAACAGTAGGCATATCATACACAGTTTTCTCCTTCTTCCCCGCCATTATCCCCTTCTGCAGAAACATGTCTTCTTTGTTGGAAGACGAAGATGATGATCCTTTTGGATTGGTGGAGCTAAAATGGTTTACAGACTGTGCTTCCGAGGCTGCTTGTATGAGGTTGAGATGGAATAAGAAGAGTAGCCATATTGCATCAGACACACTTAGATATGGTTTTACTTGTTTCACCACATTCACCATTTCCACCAACGCATAATTCGCCAAGTTTTCTACACTGCCAAATATGTAGCGCTGAGAGGGATCAAACTCCTTCTGCTCAGCCAGGAACGCCATGGCAGCCGCTACAATGTTTGAAGTGATATCGTAATAGTTCCCAATATAAAACCCGCTATTCAGCACGCCCCATTCTGCCTGCTCCATACTGTAACCATTTGCAGCAATCTTATTGATTGCAGTCTGGAAACAATCCCTCAATTTGTGAATTACAAGTTACGTTCTTGAAGCTGGACTGCCAGGGGCTCTTCCCATTCTGCAGGGCTAGCTTTCTTCTTCTTTTTCTTTTTCCTCCTTCACTTCAGATGATCTCTCCTTCCATGCCTTCACCTCAAGCATTTGTTTGTGGAGCGATTCTGCTACCGTTTCATAGTTTTGCAAATCCAAATCAGATAGAACTAGGATATCGTCTTTGGAATTGGAAGTCTTTATTATCATCTTCCCCTTATTGCTGTTGTCTTCCATCACTACCATCTTTCCCTTGCATGCCCTTGTCGCCTTTGTTGTTGCCTTCACCGCCTCCTCTTGCGTTTGGGTTAACCATTTTTGCTGGGAATTCAAACAACTACCTCCATCTTTAGCTGCAACTCGATCCAAATACAACACCAAATTCAATTCTAATTAAAATACAGAAACATACATAAAGATTAGAAAAATAAGATGTATGTTTACTCTATCTTACCCTAAATAAATAAATAAAAATAAATTTCTCATTTTCATGGATAAATAAACAAAGAAAGAGGTGTAACATATATAAGATTCATAGAGTAGAAATTCACGAATTTTTTTAAAGGTACTCAGAGAGAAAACCTGAATACCTTAATTTGGGTTCTATTGCAAGTGTAGAATGGAAAAGAACTAGTCCTTACTCCTTTACAACAAAATCACATGCAGGTATGAATGAGCAAGCAAATTCAAGATGAAAAACAACAACAACAACAATATATATATATATATATATATATATATATATATATATATATATATATATATATATGGAAGGGCTCCCGTGCATTTACTCCTTCCCGTGAATAATGAGGTTGAATCTAAGCCCCACGTATCTCTTGATCGAACGAATCAGATCAATAGCAAAAATTAAGCGCGAATTGCTCATTAAGGGCATTTTTGTCCTTTTGATTATATTAAAAAAAAAATCTGTTCTTCTTCTTCTTCGAGCGTTTTCAAAATTCACCATTGATTCCTAATCTTCTATATTTCCTAATCTCAGACGAATTTACGATCTCTACGGAATTGGCAATAAGATCTATTCTCTTCGTCGTTCAATATCATATTCGTCAAAATAAACCCTAAACCCATCAAAAACGTCAACCGAAGAACAATGGAAGAATTCGATCGAGGTATTGCCCAAATTCTATCGCTTTTTTGGAATTAATTTTATCTGCACTTGTATTGGCATCATTCTTGTCTTAATTACACGCACATTAAGCATGCAACTTAACCACCGAATTACTGAGCTACTTTAATTAATCCGAGCCTAGATCCTTACGCACGTAGATGATTAGGTAGCCGCATGATAATTTTTAAAAATGCACATATTACTGTTTTCCTCACACATGTTATCCGTTGAGCACACGCACATTAATTCCTTTCCAGACGCATGTTATGTTACTGGACTCTCTGACGCACGTTAAGTAATGACATAATATTTTAACAAACACTCACGCATATTAACTGTTCAACATGCGCACGTTAACTATTACCCTGAAGCACGTTAATTTTTCAATTGCCGCACATACTCTTTTATTTTATAAATCTGCCATATTGACAAAGATCTGTTTAACTTAACGCATATTAAGTGTTAACCTTACACACGTAGAGGCTTGCAACAACACAATCATAACTTCATGCTTATACGTTACAGTTCCCAGTGACTTTCAATCTACCAACAACCCCAGTTTGAGTCCCAGCAGCAGCAGCAATGGTCATACATTGACCATATCTCCTGGAATGACACAGTATTGGACTCCTAACTGTGAAGATGAAATCAGACCAGCAGTAAACATGATTTTTAAAACATTGGATGCTGGTATTGAATTCTACAATCATTATGCTGCCAAAGTCGGGTTTGACACGAGGTCTAGTTCCGTCGTTACAGCACGTGACGGGACCAAAACTCAAAAGCAAATCGTTTGCAACAGAGAAGGATTTAAGAATACAGGAGCTCAACATTCTCACTCGCAGTCAAGTGCAGATGCAGGGAAGGTCCTTCCCGTCCAAAGCGGCGAAGGGTTTCAAACAGAACTGGTTGCAGAGCTAGGATTATGTTTAAGTACATTGGAGTAGCTGGGTACCAAGTTACAACTTTTATTGAAAAACATAATCACAGCATGTCTTCGGTTCTGGCAAGGCAGTTTCTAAAGGGAAATAGAAACATCTCCAGTGTTCACCAGAAGTTTATACTCGACTGCGCTAAAGCAAATATTGGAGCATCAAAATCACACGATTTATACAGTCAGATTGTGGGGGATTACTCTGAAGTTGGAGCAACTGTAGTGGACTTTAAAAATGTCAGAAGGGATCTCAGAGCATACATATTGGGAGCTGATGCACAAATACTGGTGCATAATCTTATTAGAAACAAGAGATGTGCCCTGCATTTGCTTTTGACTACGAGGTTGATGAAGATGAGCAGATGAGCAGACTGTTTTGGGCAGATCCAATGTCAAAAAAGAATTTTGCTGCATTTAGAGATGTTGTCTCTTTTGATGCCACATACTCAACAAACATGTATATACTATTCTACTCCCATTCTTGCGTACGTTTCATTAATTAATACACATTTAGCATTGCCTGATCTGTTGAGACATGTTAAGATTTAGACACGTTCACTGTTTTATTGAAAAAGAGTTGAAATATAAATAAGTGCACATTGTCGTTTATACCACGCATTTTAAACGCTACTGTCTCGCATATTAATGCGGAATTTACAGAATTAGACCTCAATTACATATGTGTGCTATTTTAATACTTAATATGCGTTACTCTAATTCTCTAAGTGCGGTAGTTTGACACCTGCATACTGTGATGACGCTTTTTGTCTTGTAGGTACGATATGGTTTTTACACCCTTCACCGGAGTTGATAACCATAAAAAATGTATAACATTCGGTGCTGGACTACTGTTGAAAGAAGACATTGAGTCTTATGTTTGGCTATTTGAAAAATTTAAAAAGGCAATGGGTATGGAACCAAGAATAATTGTCACCGATCAAGATCCAGCTATGAAAGTGGCGATTCCAACAGTTTTCAAGCAAGCCAGGCATCGTTATTGCATGTGGCACATCATGTGTAAAGTTGGGGAAAAGGTGGGTCCTACGCTGAACAAGAATGAGGAATTTAGGAACAAACTGAACTTAATCGTTTGGACGTCATCTTTGGAACCTCCTGATTTTGAGAAGCAGTGGAGAGAGCTCATGGAAAAGTACAACTTAGTCGAACACAACTGGTTTAAAACTATGTTTGAGGCTAGAAAGCATTGGATCCCAGCGTATTTTAGAGATGGCTTTATGGGAGGACTACTCAGGACAACTTCTCGTTCCGAAAGTGAGAACTACACGTACAGCCGTTTTACTGGTCCCCAATCAAGCCTAGTTGAATTCATGATGAACTTTGACAGTGCTCTTAAATTACAACGTAACACAAATGCAAAGCTCAACAGTGACAATGAAGGCTACAATCCAGATATGAAGACGCCTCTGGGGATTGAAAAGCACGCTTCAATCGTCTACACCATTACTGTTTTCTATCAAGTTCAGGAAGAAATATGTGCCTCCTGTTGCAAATGTATGGTGTTGAGTGTTAGAGAAGACGGTGGAAACCGAGCCGGGCGGGCCGCGGAGGCGACGTGCGCGGGATCTCCCCTTATTTCCTCTCCATAATTGTAACACCCCAATTTTCATATCCAAAATTTCCTTCAATTTCTTTTTCTTAATTTACAATTTACGAAACTCATAGCGGAAGCATTAACTAATCAAAAGAAAATGGGTGTTACCGCCACACTTAGGCAACCAACAACCTAAGTGCTAAGGCTAAATTTACAACTTGCAATAAACAACTCAAGATATGTATTAGTACAAAAATAACTAACAATTCAAATGTCTAACTAATAAATGATATCTCTAGCTGGTTCGCTCGCTCTCTTATCCAATGCTCATGCAAGACACCTGCAACCAGAGTTAAAGAACAGAGCACAAGGAAACACACAAATTCAGCATAAAGCTTGTAAGATCTTCACATCTAATTCTTGAATCAATTGATAAGAAGAAAAGACTAGGTTTTATCTATTTAGGAGGGAGGGATTGTCGACATAGAGAGATAGAAGAATATATATATTGAATTAGGTTATCTGGAACAATCTGACTACTACTTAAATACTTAACTAATAACTTGTATTATAAATAATAATTCTATTTGTAGGGAACTAAAATACTTAAAAGCTTAATATAATATTAATATACATATTAGGGTTATGGAAAACTATAACATATATATGTTCCAGGCCATATCATACGTACAAAATATATATTATTAGAAAAATATATACATATATATATATATATATATATATATATATATATATATATATATTAGGACCAAAATATTATTAATTAGGCTCAAATAATAATTTGAGTTTAGGAAGATATTAGGTTAGACTTGGAGCACAAGGAATAGATTTAAATTAGGAAATATAGTGCCCAAAAATATGGGGCATCACACCTAACTTCAATACACCACAAAGATCAGGTATCACATTAATACTTCAAACCTTCTAAAAGGCATTGGTAAATAAAAGGTGGGAAAAGGAGGTATAGCCATGCAATGTGGGACAAGTGAATAAGGACAAACTCAATAAATGCCCCATTAAATGTTCTAACAATCCCCCACACATTTAAGGTGGCAAAGCTAGACCCCCTGATGCCTGAGTCTGTACAGGAGCTAACTTCCATATCAGTGTATGATACTTGAACTGACACGTAGTGGTATTAAGTAACTTGTTACCAGTGAGTGAATTGAATCTTGAACTCCTCGGTTAGTTGAGTTTTGAACTTAACAGCACTCATTAGCCCTGACTTATCCCTGTTTTTAGTCTATCTCAATATAGACATTTCACTCTGTCAAGTCTATCTCAACATAGACCACCCTTAGCAGGCTATAGAGTAGGCACTGTTTTCTACAGTCCTTTTTAACGTAAGTCTTTCCGTGATGTCGATTAACCCCCAAGGTGGTATCTATCACGAATTTCTTACCTCATTGGGTTTTAAACCCATCTCCCTTGAAGTATCAAGGAAGGTCTTTCGATTTAGACCTTTGGTGAATGGATCTGCAATGTTCTTTTCAGATCTCACAAACTCCATTCTGATCACCCCATTTAGTATTAACTGCCGTACAGACTCGTGTCTGACTCTTATGTGTCTTCTCTTGCCATTATAGACACTATTTTGCGCAACACAGATGGCAGTTTGTGAATCACAATGAATAGGAACAGCAGGTGCTGGACACCCCCACAATGGCACGTCTGCCAGTAGGTTTCTCAGCCACTCGGCTTCTTGGCTTGCCAAATCTAGAGCTATGAACTCAGCTTCCATAGTTGATCTGGCAATGCATGATTGTTTGGTTGACTTCCATGATATAGCAGCCCCACACATAGTGAACACGTATCTACTAGTTGAGTTTGCATCATCACAGCCATTTACCCAGTTTGCATCACAATACCCTTCTAGTACAGCTGGAGACCCTTTATAGTTAAGACCCCAGTCTATCGTGCCTCTCAGGTATCGAAGTACTCTTTTCAGTGCATCCCAATGCGGGGCACTTGGGTTATGTGTGTATCGACTAAGTTTATTCACCGCGTATGCGATATCGGGTCTCGTATAGTTCATGAGGAACATTAAACTCCCAATTATCTTCGCATACTCTTCTTGTGACACACTAGCCTCTACGTTCTTTGACAGTTTTACACTAGGATCGTAAGGGGTCTTTGCCGGAGTCACATCATAACTTGCAAACTTCTTTAGAAGTTTCTCCGTGTAGTGACCTTGAGACAAAAGATAACCTCTTTCAGTTTTTGTAACTTTTATCCCAAGTATTACATTAGCTTCCCCAAGATCCTTCATGTCAAAGTTGTCACAAAGAGTTCTTTTTGTTGTATTTATAGCCTCAATATTGGAGCTAAAAATTAACATATCATCTACATAGAGGCAAATAATCACAATACTAGACTATTTCTTTAGTGTAAAGGCAGGCATCTGACTTGTTAGTGGAATACCCCATGTCTAGAAGGGTTTTGTGAAATTTTTCATACCACTGTTTGGGAGCTTGTTTCAAGCCATATAAAGACCTCTTGAGTCTACATACTTTCCCTTCTTGTCCTGGATCAACACATCCGGGAGGTTGTTTGTGACACCCCAAAAATCCACACTCCAATTCATGAATTAATTGAGTAATTAATTCTATTTCTTTTGAGGAATTGATTCCTAAAATCCTGATTTTTGATACTCAAGGACTAGTATTTGACTAGTCAATTTTTAAGTGGTGTTGTACCTTGTGCTTTAAGAGGAGTTCCCTTGTTCCTTACACTTTCTAAGAGTTAGTAAGGGTATCCTTGTCTTTTCACCAAGAGTTAGTTTTGTAACCTAAACCTAGAAGACTTCTTCATTTTCATCCCTTACAATTCCTAGAAAATATCTCTACCTTCTCTCTAGAAAAGAAGAGTAGCTTGTTCTTCAAGCCAAGTGAGACCTTTGTCAAGATTCCAAGTTTTGCTTCCAAGATTCAATCTTTCATCTATTTGCGCATCTAGAAGGGTAAGATCTAAGCTTGTCTAGTCTTTTTGGTTCCACCTTAGTTGTATTTTTCTTAAAGGTGGGTTCTTTATGATCTTTTGGTTTGATCTTGAAGTGGGTTTGGCTAGTGAGCTTAGTGGAAAGCTTGTTGTGGTGTAAGAGAAGTCTTTTGGTCTTCAAGAGGTAACCCATGCTCTACAAAACCTATTTTGCTTACCTATATATGATTTCTTGGATTCTATTTGTGTTTTGCTATGAAATGTGAGAGTTTAAGCATTTATCTTGTGATATTGCATATCTAGAGCTTGTGTTTAGGATTCCTTTGTGCCATTGCTTGGCATGTTCCTTGGTTCAAGTCATTTTGTTGTGTTTGGTGAGATTTGGCATGTTTTGGAATTGAAGTTGTGTTTGGAGAAGAAAATCCCCGAAGGGATTTGTTGTGGAACAGGTGTGTTCCCGCGGGCGGAACGACGGACAGGGCACCACCCGCCGGCCTACCCGCGGGTACACAGCCTCGTGGGAATTGTTCCCCACGGGATGGACACGGTTGGGGCACTACCCGTGGTCCACCCGCGGGTACATGGTTGGAGTTGGAATGGGATTTGTTCCCCGTGATTTGTTTGTCTCGGTATTTTGATCTTTTGGCTTCCCGTTGATCTTTTGTGGAAATATTTGAGTGTCTTCTTCATGTTTCGTAGGTCTAGAACTATATGGTAGGTATCCATGTAGGATCTTTGGTGTCTTGAATCGTGCTAAGTGTTCGACATTGTGTTTCGTTGAACCAAGAGGTGTCTTGTGTGTTCCTCGGAACTATCTTGAGTTTCCCCGTTGTTAAGCATGCGAGTTTATTGTCTTAATGCTAGCGTGTGTGTTGTTCGTACCTTCCGTTTGGGTGATGATAACTTGTGTTATTCATCGTTGTTGTTGTTGGGCTGTGACCCGTTCCTTGATTGAGTGTGTTTCATACCTTCTTTGCAATCCGTTGATTGATTCGTGTGAGTGGTGGTGCGTGTGTGGCTCTACCTGGATTGCACGATTAGTGGTATGGGACACTAGTCACCAAGGTATTGCAGTGGTCCTCGTGGTGGTCGTGACGTGATTATGGAGTTGTGTTCCTTCGAGAAATGTTCACATGATTGGGGGATAACATTGTGTTATCCGGGCATGTGTTGCCGTGATTGGTGGTGGTTCGTTGGTGGTCTGTAGGTGGGGGACGACGATCCCGGCGGAATTAGGTTGGACTTGGCTGTACAGGGGATTCTGGAGGTAATGGTTGGCTTGAAGGTACAAGGTTGGGGGTAGCCATAAGGTTGGAACAGGGCATAAGGAAGGCATACCAACTCGTGATGGGTGATGTTACGAGGGCTTGTAAAGCCGGTGTTGTGTGATCTTCTCTCGTGACGTGTGTAGTCACGGAACCTTGTGGTGTTTTGGCATGTGTTGCCGTTGGGTGAGTCTTTATCCTTGTGTGTGGTTAACCTTTGTGGTTGGGATGTGTTCCCAGTGTTATCCTTGTGAGTGGTGAGTCTTGTGATCTTGGTTTTTAACTTATATATATTGTATTCCGTTTCGAAAATGGTTTTTATATCATATATCTACCTATTTATGATACTTAACGGTATTGGTGGGTTACCAGCATTATTCGCTGACCGGGCGTCGCCCCGATGTTTATCTTTGTATCTTTCAGGTGTTGAGTAGTCGAGCGCGATGTCTAGAGCCGGTAGCTTAGCACCTGTACCTTTAGACTGTGTTTTTGTGGCCTGCGTGCCAATGGTTTTAGATTGATGTTTTGGGATAGTGTGATACACTTGCAGATTGTCGCCTTAGCGTTACCTAGTGTGGTATACGTGGCATAACACCCCTGTTTTGGATTTCGTTTATCCAGTTTCCGTTTTCTTCTGTTGTGCTAGTGTTTTGCTGTTAATTTGCATTTGTTAAGACTTGTTTTTAGGTCTTTTTTTGGGGGGTGTTACAGTTGGTATCAGAGCCTAGGTTTAGAGCCTAGGAAGAGTTGAGTCTAGACTTTCTAAGTGTTTACGTGTGTTTTGAGACCTCTAAGCGACCTTAAGGAGTTAAGTGCTAGACTTAGGACTCTA